AGTCATGAGTATTTTTCAACTCTAAAATATGGTATCAGTGAGACTATGTATCTTTAACATTTTCCCTAATAAACATTTTTCTGGCTATTTATGTTTTCTATGTCTAGCAGTAAAACTAGAAAATTCTGCGCTGTAGTCTGTATCTCCAAGAATCTGCACGTTATTATGCCCTCCCCGAACACACACTTACAGAAGGCAGAAATAAGGAATTTTTGTTGTGAGGGTTCTCCAGTTTCCCTACATCTTTATCGAGTTGTAGAGCTTCAGTCTTAGAAACTTCAAACTAGCTTTCATTTGCTTAAATAATCCCAGTATCAAAAAGGCTTACCTGAAATTTTTAACATATAGTTTAGAGTGGCCACATCCCTTGGAAAAATCCATCTTTAACTGAGTAGAAGGGCAGGCCACTCAGTTTCCAACAAACTTTAAGGGCTATGCACCCTGCTATAGTTCGCTCTAAATGCTCTGTCTGCTTAGATTCTGACAGGAGTCTCAGCAAGCAGAAGCAGTGGATTAGCAATTAAGGCCCTGGTGCTATGGCAGGGTGGCCTCCAGGTTTCCTTCCTTCAATTATGGCTCCAGGGAAGAAGCTTCTGAGAAGGAAGGCTGCTTCTACACACGGTAATTCTGTAAAGCACCAACAGAGGTCTTTGTTTTTTAAGCAATGTTTAGAGGCTAGAGTAACACAGTAAAGATTCTCATCTCTATTCAGCTACTGTTTTTGTACAGCTCATGAATCCTGATGGGGGTGAAGGGTATGCACACTGGAGCCTTCCTTTGATAATTTAACATTTAATCATGTTTACATTGGATGGGACTAGAACTTAATGTGAAAATTTTTCAACTTTAGGAAATGTACATCTAAAAATTTAAATATTACTAAGAAATGTTACATATCAAGTAGTAAGCTGCTAAAATAATGGGTTCACATAAAATCAAACTATCAACTGTGGACATTGAAGATCTGTCTTACTTCGGGCTATAAGATGTAAATTGATAACTAACTGTAGATATGTGGTGCTTCCTGAAATAGAGGGTCCTAACAGTTAAATTATTATGGACTTAAATAGATCCAACTCCAACACACATGGTGATTAAAATAAACTAGGTTATAAAATTAAAATTGAAAACAGACAACACTAATTATATATTATGGACTGCTATTTTCTCAAATACAGAACATGATCAATTCAAAACATCCCAGGGCCAGGGGTATAGCTCAGCAGTAAAATGTATGCTTAATTAACATGCCTTAATTAGGCATGGTTTCAAGCCACAAAACCATACATGCACACGTGTGTACATGTGTACATGTGTGTGTCTGTGTGTATAATCAACAGCAAGGCATTATGAACCTTAAAATATTTTGTGGATGTTCTATGCTGACTACAATGAGCACAAAAGCCTAGCTTAGTCAGACTATTAAGGAACATGTACTCTGTTCAGAACTATCATGAGAACAAGAAGCAGATTGGAAAGGTGTGGAAGGTGACTGGGGCTCTCTATGTTTAATGACACAGTTAAATTATAATATCAATCAAACATAAAAGCCTTTTGATATAATTCAAGTTCCTTCTAATTCATATTCCATGTCCTTTGTTGATCATTTTACTGAGTTTACTTATCTAAATACTGTCAAGTTCTCCAGCTTTGCTCATACTCACACATTATAGTTCTTCCTTTTCAGTTTACTTTATCCTTTTTAAACATTCTTTTCAGACTTGTCATATAAGATTTATCTGTTAAAAATTAACCTGCTAAATAGATATACCTAAACTAAAGATTTGGAACATAGTCTTTGATGGTAATATGATATACTCTTTTTTAAAAAAGTGGTTGAACCTTCTCCTCAGCTTTAACGTAATATAGCATGTGTATACAACACTATTCAATTTTATGGATGATGAATTGATACAACAGAATTGTCACAACAGATGGAAAACAAGAAGTCAAGACCATGACCTAATTCTAAAAGCAACTATTCAGCATTTACTGATGTCTTTTATAAGCTAATGTTTTCTTCTTAAAAAGACAAAAACCAAAAAAAAGTGTGAGTGTATGTGTGTATCTACACACGAGCACACATACACATACTTGGGCCACAGTACATGTGTGGAGGTCACAAGACAACTATGTGGAGTTGGTTCTCTCCCTTCACTTTTACTTGAATCCAGGTATGGAATAGGCTTACTTGGCTTTTACCAGATAAGCCATCTCCGAGATCATAATGTTTTTTTAGTGTAAAGTACATTCACTATTATAATAATTACATTGTTAGTGACGGCCAGAAAAACTAATTGTAAGTTCTAAAAGAAGAATTCAAATATTAAGCACTAGAAAAAAAAAGGTAATTACCTCATTTTCTTTCTTACAATGTTTATCCGTAAGAAATGATTAGAGGAAAATGATTACAGGTCTGGAAGTCTAATGTCTCCATAAAAGTTGAAAGGCAAATGGAACCACACTCGAAGTTAAAATGTTAAAATTCAAACTGATCAAAAGTTGAAGAGTGAAGAGTTTCTAGGGCAGAGGTTCTAATGCTGTGGCCCTTTAATACAGTTCCTCATGTTGTGGTAACCCCAACTTCATAAAATTATTAATTTTTGCTAGTTCATAACTGTAATTTGGCTGGTTATGCATTGCAATGTAAATATCTGATATGGAGGACATCTTATATGTGACCCTGTGAAAAGGTCATGAGAATCACTGTTCTGGGGAGACAGAAAGGTTGTTTGTAAAACTTTATAATAAGGCCACTGGTCTGCTTGGTGCCCAGGTGGCCAGGCACCACTACATTGAACAGGTATATGGTAGAGTTATGGGAGAGAAGGAAAAGCAGAGTGGTTCGTGCATTGTAGAAAGAAGCGTTACTAAAGACTTGATGGAGGTGAGGAACAGGCTGACGTGGGTGGCCTGTCATCTCAGGTGACTGTCTGTCATCTGAGGCCATGGTGATGTTCAAGCCTGAGCTGCTGCAGCTGAGGGCCATGTCTGGGTCTGAGACTCTACCACAGCCAGGGTATGTGTTGATGTCAGTGGTCCTTGTAACCACCAGAGGCCACTGGAGTGTTGGCCCTGCCACATGCCAGGCTGCCTTTAGAGAGAGAGCTGTCCGACTCCTGGGAGAACTGGCCCAAGTGTGTTGGGGGTGGGGAAGATGGCCCTGGGAAAACTGCCTTCACTGGCTGCCACAACAGGAGGGCTGGCCTTGCATGTGGGAGAGCTGGTCCCCAACCCATGCCTGAAGAGAGTGGTTCCAGGAGAGGCTGGTCAACTTAGCTGCTACCACCCGAGCCACATTCAGGGCTTTGAGTTGACCCATCCTAACATAGATGGTCTACCCCATCTATGGCCTGCTGGAATTTGTGAAGGGACCAGTCCTGTGGAACCATAGCCCTAAGTTCTTCATGACTCATGGCAACAGCAGGATATCTGAGAGGACTTTCGGTGAGGATCCAGTATTGGTTGTGTACCAGAAGCCAGAGGCCTTGAACCAGACCAACCACCCATTGCAATGAACATCTGCAAGTAAAGCTGTTTGGACAAAAGGGTATACTATGTGACACACCACAGTTTCCAAGGCCAGTACGGCCAATGAACATGTGATGGAGAGGCAGGAACGAGAAAGCAGTGAAGTGGGGTTTCTTCCCTTTCTTTTCTTTTTTTGGGGAAGGCTACAAGGTTGAAGGCAGACATGGAAGGGCTGAGAAATGATGTGAAATTCCCAAAGAATCAATACTGTAGATTGCCTTCTTCAAAGATTCTAAAGTTGTTAAAAAGAAAAAGATTTTTTAAGGCAAAAACTTGGCCTTAAGACATTCTCCTGTCACATGTTCTCACCAACATTGTTTGGTAAATACAGTTTTTCTCTCTCTTATTAACTGCTACTGACATAGTATAAAAACATTTGAACAATTTTCCCCGAAACAGATCAAATAACTAAAAGTGTTTATCAAGTATAACAAAACCTAAGATTCTATAATCAATGACTATTAGCATGAATTATACTTATGGAAAAACTACTAAACAATTTCTCAAAGGATAGAAAAAGGCATACTTTTGTTCTATTTTCCCTTTGGACAAAAAAAAAATTCACTAAAAGAATAAAAAGGAAAATAAAATACAGAATAACTAGTTTTTGCAAAAGGATTAAAAAACTAGTTATGCTATATGTAGTACAATGGGCAGATCTGGCTCTGTCTTATAAATACTTCATTTTGAAATGAAACATTTCTTCTCCAAAGTTACAATCTTAACACCAAATTCTGTTACCAAACTTCAAAATTTAATACTAAAAAGTATTCTTTTATTTTTAAATATTATGGCTACCTATCGGAAAATTTCAAGCTAGATATAACTAAAATTAGCAAAGGGATAATTTCATAAAATATGACCAGTATGCTAAATACAAAGAAAAAACGAACTATCAACATATGTTCTCCTAGTTTGATCAGGGCTCACCTCAAACAAAAATTTTGATTACTGGTAGAAAACAAAATGTCCCCCCTCTCTTTGAAACTACAAATAAAATGGAAAGATGTATGTACACACACACACACACACACACACACACACACACACACACACACACACACAATATAAATGTACATGTAAAAATTTTTCTTTAAAATGTATTAAATGCTATTAAATAATGGATACATTCATTAAATCTTGTTCCTTTTTATTAGTTATGCCTTTAAGAATAACAGCAAATTAAATAAATTCTTACTGCTTTTATGTCTGTCTTAAAGATAGTTTATCATTTTCCTTTTTCCAGTGTCTTGGACTTCAAAATGCAAAATAAGAGATAATTATAGGAATAGGTGCCTAAATAATATCAGAACAATTCTAAGTTAGGGGTAATGAACATATACTATCCTATCAATATTATGAAGCATATACTATATATCAGCATTCAAATAGCAGACATGGTCATAAATTGTTTCATGAATAATTAAAAATGAAAGCATCTAACATTCTATGAAAGAAGTACATTTTACCTGGATTAGATGAGGCAATGCTTTTAGTGTAAGGCAAAACCAAATTCCCAGTTTGCATGGAAGCAAATCATGCCATTGTGGTTTTACTAGCAATCTAAAAGAGGGGAGAAACCAAGCAACAAATCAGAAAAATAGACAAAATTGAGAATAAGAAACATTTTATGCAATTATTAAATCTCTTTTGAATGTCAATTTAAAAATAAAGTTTTCAATAACATATTTATGATAGTCATCACTTAATCTGACTTAGTCCAATATGAAATGCAGTAGTTGCAAACATTATACACACACACACACACACACACACACACACACACACACACACATATATATATATATAAAACAAGAATCCCAACTTATAAAATTTTTTGGAAAGAGGTTTCTAATAAGTTATAAAAATTAAAAAAAAGAAGCCTAATGGGAGGAGAGGGGTTGGGGAGATCCTCTCAAAATGCATCATATTTATGCATGAAATTCTCAATTAAAAAAGACAAAATGAATTCTTAGACCTTATGATTACTCCAGCTATAAAAGACCAGTCATTGTCAAACTGCTCCCAAGTGCTGAGCTACCAATATGGTAACATAAACAAACTACAGCATAAAAATTAATGACATTTGCAGTTTGCTGAAGCATTACTCACTGATGTCATCAAGACAGAAAACAAGAAGAGGCCAGACAGTGGTGGTGCACGCCTTTAGTCCCAGCACTGGGAAGGCAGAGGCAGGCAGATCTCTGTGAGTTTGAGGCCATCATGGTCTACAAAGTGAGTTCCAGGACAGCCAGTACTACACAGAGAAACACTGTCTTGAAAAACAAAACAAAGCAAACAAACAAAAGAATGGTCTATGATCTCCATCCCACATTGATTCAATTTCCGCCCTGCTGTGTGAACTAAAAACCTTTATTTCTGTTATGAATCAATGAAAGAAATGTGGTATCTTTTTTAGTGTTCTGCTATCATTCATGTCCTCTCTATTGTCTATCATTTTTAGAGACAGATTATTCTAGTAGCACTCCACTTCTAAAGTTCAGTAGAAAAATTTCAAACTGCAACTACAATAGTATTAATAAGAGGTTAATACTATTTAGATATAGCTAAACACTGTTATAAGAAAACTGTTAAGAATTTTGCTTAATGTAAATTGTAAATTATGTCTTGTAAATTATGGCACATTCATGTCTATACCTAACACAGATATGACAGCATATCTGAAGCAGACAAACACAAGAAGTAGAACTATCTTAAACTACATACTATTTTGTGCACTCCTACCTTTCATTTTTTTCAGAAGCACCAAGTTTTGCGGCATCCATACTCTTGCTTCCTGTCTTCTTCTTCTTTTCTCTCTTTTTTCTACCAAGCAGCTCATCCTTACCATGAAAAGAATGACTGTAACTGATTGTCTTGAACATGTATACCTCAAATGCTATAAAGATTCTTTCATAAAGAGAAAACACTAGAACATTTATGCAAATGTATGTAGAGTCCAACATGATCAAGTAAAATCATCAGTCTTTCACAATAACTGTTGCCATGGTATCCAGCCTTACAGACACATGAAATTCAGCACTGTCAGTCATGTGCATCCATAGCATTCAAAGTGTTCAACTTACTTTTTATTATTCACACACCTTTAATAATGCTACTTAAAAAAGAATGAGTAAATGATAATTCATGAGAGTTTATAATTATTTATAGTATATAAAGGAAAATCCATAGCAGAATAAACTATATTGAATATTAGACTGAGGAAGTGTAATAAATCCTTTAACAAACTGATCCTTGAAGTTATAATATCTATCTACTTTAAAATCTTACTTTATGTTTTTAAAGTAAATACATTATACAAGAAGTCTGTGACAAAAATTCCTCATCAATTACATTAAAAATTCTACTTAGGAAGTGATAATTAGAATATGGACCTACTTTACAAAGCTTTATTATAAACCCAAATGCTGCATTTTTTAGAAGAAATATTTAGAAATATCCATGTGTTTTCCTTGGCATAAAAATGAATCAAAAAGTAACTAGTGACAGTACAACTATTAGAATACAGAGAACATGTAGAAAAATAGAAATTTCCATCACTTGAGAAATAAATGTCTAGAATTCTATATAAAATAAAGGAAGCTAGGCCATTTGATTTATCACCAATACTTACCAGTTGTTTTTCCAGGTAGATTGACCAAACCACAGCATAATGACCCACTGTGAGAATAATGAACAGGAGTAATGCCAGCTCAGTATCGCTCATTTTTCTCACTCGCCTGTAGTAGAATACTGGCTGTCGCCAATCTGGAAGTCCATTGATCAGAATATCATCATACCTGTGGTAGCAAATATAACAGTTTTTTTTTTTAATGAAGAGTTTAATATAGCAAAACCAAAGCTAAAGAAAATCTTCATCTGCACCTATATTTAAAAAGAAAAAAAATTCTCTCAGAGAGGTAACAACTATAGTTTCCCAGCATCACAGTGCCTTATAAGTTCAAAGCATGGTTACATGGCTTCAGCAATTGTCTTCATGAAGGCCCAAAGTATTAACACACTGGACACCAGATCTCACGATTTACAGCACTCAGTTATATGACTACTAGTGACATGCATACCTGTCTACACTGTTTGTAGAAAATTCTTTGCCACAGAATCAGTAACAAAAGTTAGGCTCTCACAGAGGAAATAAAACAAAATCAAATCAGAACTATTTGAATTATGTATTATTTGAATGAATTATACATTAATTGAATTAAGCTCAGTATACATTTATTTATACATTAATTTCTACCCTCATGATAACAGTAGTTGAATATTCTATACACATTATTTTATTAAAGCTTCTTAAGGACATAAATAAAATGAGTGCCTATGATTTTGCAGAGCTCATGTTCCTTTAAGAACAAAAAGATCTCAAATTAGAGAAGGACATGAAAATAACAAATGTACGTCAGAGTTCACAATAAAACTGCTTATTTGTAAACCCTTAAGTAGCAATTTCCTCATTTGTGGCTTTTGCTGGAAGGGAAGAACATTAATACATAACAGCTTTCCTTATATATTTAAATAATTATTCTTGGTACTATCAAGTTAAAAGAGAAATAAAAATTCAACTGAATTTAAATTTATTTCTCAGTTATTGAGCAAATACTTTTAAGACTAAAAATAAGGAGTAACTTTATGCCTGTGAAACTCAAAATGATCACACGCACTGTATACTCAATACACACAACCTGTTAATCTTAATTGAGCACAACTCATTAAATATTCTAATCACACTATTTCTAGAATTAAACCTCCACTGAAAGGCCTAATTTGGTGCAACACATTGACCAAAATATTTTAATTAAAAATATTCTGAGTTAGTCGCAGGCCTAATTACAGGAATAGAAATAGGACCTATATTGTCAGGCAGGTCAGCAGAGCTCAGTAGTAGGTTTTTCTCAAGTAAATTGACTGATCTAGGAATAATAGCGCAGCTGCTAAACTGCCAGTCTTGACATGTAAATCAATTTAAATGCAACAACTGCAGTAGCTACTTTGATAGTTATTAAATTGATACCTTGGAGATATGCTAAAAATATAAAGCAGAGGGTTTATTATAGAAAACTTTTTTCAGTAGAAAAACATTGGTTACTAATGTAAAATATAATTTATTAGTCAATCTTTAAAAACCTGACTTTTAAATAAACTTTAATTATTAATACTACTAGAGCAGAGTATCTGAGTAGTAAACAAAAGGATATTTACAAAATTCAAATTACAATATGGTATTGTGGTGGCAGGGTCAGGCAAAATTTGATGTTAAATGCTCTCCTTTTCCAGCATTTGTACCATTCCTTAAATATTATCTTCATGATATAATATTATGGTGTCCTAGAAAATTTATTCTGTCTTCAGAATTTTATGTTTCAGTCTTTTACAAACTAGTTAATTTAGACCCAGGTAAAAGGGTTTCAGTTAGTATGTCAGAAGATCACAATACTCAAATGAGGTCCAGTGACCATTAGGTCCCACATTTATTCTGAATTCTGTTCTAAATCATATTGAGGAGAAATAAAGGTGAATGAAAAAAATCATCATTTTCAGAAATATCTCCACTGGAGTAATTCTAAAAGGTATGTTTATCAGTAAAAAGTTATCTGAGAATGTGTTGTTGGTTCCTTATTAGCATTAGTATAAAAATATTAAGTCTGCTTTGGACCTAAAGTGTAGCAGAAGAAAATACAGCTGTACTCAAAACTGAGACTCTTCTGTCAAATATCTCATCATCATCACTGGAAAAAGCTACTATTTTTTCTATCACACATATAAATTGTGTTTAGTGTGCAACCAAATCCAAATGAACAAAATACATGAAACAGCAGTTATTTACTCGGCTGTGCCTGCCGCTCTGAAAAACAGTGTCCAGGGATTAAGCGTCTAGTCAATGCTCTATTGATTTTACTCCAATGAGCATTATGGCTCACACAACTGGCCATTAGAAAGGAAGATAGCTTCTATTATAGTTCACTTTTTAGAATGTATGCTGTTAAAAGATAAATTACTACCTTCCTGATGGGACACTGAAAGACAAGTATACTTCTTTAAAATATACACAGATACTCGTAAGTTATTTAAGGAGAAAATGTGTTGACAACACAAAATTTACAACACTTTAATTATGTGTTCCCATATTTAAACGCTTAAATGCTCTGTACCTGAGATGGATACAAACTATTTTTGAGTCTGCATTTAAACCAGATAAAGAATGTACAAATGAATAAATGTGTTACAAGTTAGACAGAAGCAAATCTCTATCATAAACAATCAGTAACACACACAAACAAAAGCTGACATGGAATTACATGGGCATTTCTTGCAATTTAAAGCACTAATTGATCAGTCCCACATATCCAACATATGGCCTAATGATAAATACATATGATAAACATAAAATAACAGTTGCAAAATCATTAGCAAGTTCCACACTGGAATTGCAATTCATCACACACCTGCCTCCTAGAAATACCAAAGAACAAATTTAAAATAATCTTAAACTATGAGTAGAAAATATTTACATTAACTTTAAAACAGAAACAAAATCAAAATGAAAATCTGAATAGTAAAACATGAATAAATAATTATAGCATTTGTCAAAATTGAATTTCCTATTATACAGAATATGATTTTTTAGTTTAAAAAATAACATAATTTCCATTTTAGGGCAGATTTTTAAACCTTCCAGCAAAACTCAGTTGTATAGATATTATAAACAAGAGGTAACACTAAGTTAACTGATCTTAACTAATTTCAGTTTGTGTCTATTTGGCAAATCTATTGTGGTACATAGCATTTTACATAATGCTTATTGTCTTACAGCTTCAATTTAAGGAAAGTCAAATTAGATTTCTTATTCTCAGATTTGAACAGACCTAAAATGAAATTTAGAGTAACTTTGTAATGCATTTATAAAAGTTTTAGTAGATTTAAAGTTAATGTCACATTTTAAGCTGCATTTGTACATGAGATATGATTTTCTTTGGTGAATTAAAAAATATTTAAGTTTTACTAACATAGTAATATAACAAAGGAAAATATAAGTTGCACAGTTGGATTAACAGAAATACTAGTTTGCCAGGTGTGGAGGCACATGCCTTTAATCCAAGCACTCTAAAGGCAGTTCAAGGCCAGCCTGGTCCACATAGCAAGTTCCAGTACAGCCAGAGCTACATACAGAGACTTTGTCTCAAAAACAAACACTAACAAACAAAACACAAGAAGAAATAAAGGAAAGAAGGAAAAAAGAAATAAATACTAGTGAAATTTATGATACATTTAAAACAAAAGTATGCATGCTAATATTATCTAAATTCAATCTAGTGTACAGGTAGTAAATAGTTTTCAGAAATTTAGATAAACTCTTTGGGAACTTGTGTAGAAATTTATGTTGGATCATAGGCTGTTGGTCCTTCCAATGACCAAATCTGTATGGAGTTCAGGGAAGAATTCTGTGCTAGGAATCCTTACACTCACCAGGAAAATCAATCAATTTTATGCTATAATCTGTGCCTTTAGGGAATGGGCAAGTTAAAGTTTTCAAATGTTCTTCTAGGAGTCTACCTAAGAAATGAAACTGATGCCAATACAAGGACTTTCATGAAAATGTTCAAAGCATCTTCAAAACAAAATGTTAAAAGCCATAGGTCTGTCAAATGGTGAGTGAATAAACAAAATTATCACAGTAGAATAGTACTCAGAAATAAATAAGAATAAAGTACTAGAATGTAGTACAATATGAATAAAATTAAAAACATTATGTGACAGACTATATACTACATATTTCTGTTACTATGAAATGAACAGAAAATACAAATTGGTAAAACACTGAACAGATTTTTGACTATCTAGGGCTGGAACTCAGAACAGGAATTGCCTACAGATGGGCTTGGGATACATTTTTTTTTAAAGGATGAAAATGTTGTTCAGAGAGTATGTCCAACTCTGCACAGTTATTACACATCATTGGACTGTACACTTATAGCAGGTGCTTCTCATGATATGCAATTTATACCTAAATGAGGCCATTACAAAATTAAACAAAATCTGTCTTTTCCTGAAGAAAAATAAAGCTATTTCATTTGTTAACATATTTCTAGCATTTCTATTCTCTTTCCTACCAAATTCAAACAATGCATCTAATTTGAATGAAATATAATTACATGTCTGGAGAATAAACAACAAATACTTTTATGATAACTTTCCAAATTGTTCATGCCTAGGTTATACTCTTAAAACACTTGCTCAATGACTATTTATGATAAACAATTGTATCAGCAAAATTTATTTTGTGAGAGTTATATGAGATGGTCTTTTAGAAAATGCAGCTGACTATTCTTTCCTTTGTAAGGAATCAGGAACTTACTGAAAAGATCTGCACACTTGTCTTTCTTTCTCCTGTATGGCTAAATGCTCACAGGTCACCTGGCCTCAGGCACAAGCTTTAGAGGAGTGATTCTCAGTTTCATTAGTTAAGACTTTTGCCTCAAGGAAAACCAGTTACCAAAGAGTTACTTGTGCCTCAAGGGGAAATACTACACATGTTTGCGTAACTGGCAGGTCAATGCAGAGGGAACTACTCCTAAAAAGATTATGTTAGAAGAATCTATGTTAACATAGAAACAATGCATAGGTAAGAAGAGATTTGCTGTGTAAAGAAAGACAGAAATGATTTTAGTAATTAAATAAGTTATCATAAAGTTTACTGACTTCTAAGAGACCAACCAGCCAAAAGACAAAATTTGATGGCAAAGATATTGGAAGAATAAAGCTAGCTATCTTTACAACGCTTTCTTGATGTGTGAAACAAAGAACTAGGGATTCACAAAAGAAAATCTACTGGAGTAAGTGCACAGAGGGACCAAGCTTCTTCAGCAGGACAGACTACTTAAACTAGAGGAATGTCTAGACCAATGCCAGGCAGTTCTTGTTATAGAGTAAAGGACTTCAGAAGAGTACCTGAATCCTGGGCTTTACAAATCAACAGCTAAGAATTTGGAAGGGCAGCTAACATTTTAGGGTGTAGAATTATTCCAGACCATACAATTTAAGAAAAGTTCAGAATGTCACATAATGTAATTCTGGGATTTGTGTGTTAGCCACATAAACATATAAGGTATTTATACTTGCTTAAATCTCAAATATGTGGGTATCTTCTATAAGACAACACTATCAAATTTCCAATGCTGTCCACTACTGTCTCATGAAAGCAACTTGTTGCATTCCAACCAGCATTATTATTGTTTGTTTTTCAAAGACTACTGAGCCCAGAATAAAACAAACAAAAAAGCAGTTTATTTTACCTGCAATAATTTTTTGAGAAGCTTTTGATGTATGTGTCTAAAGGGATAATTTAAAATGTATTTCATCCTATGGGTCTTATTCTAAGGCCTCTGAGGACCTCACACTGGACCCATATTCCATGGATTCTAGAGTGGAGGAAAGGCCTGTGATCTCCTGAGTCACTGACACTACAAACCACTAGAGTTTATCACTGCTCTTCTGAAGGGGCGAGATAGTCTGCATGAGGGACTGCCTCTACTCTAAGGTTACCAGACACACAGTCACCGGAGAAGATGTGGGGAAGAAGGCAAAACAAATGTGAGAAAAGAGGAGCTGGAGTGAAGAAACATCAGGAAAGTACACTTACGTGATGACTTAAATGATAATCTCAAACACTTAACAAGAGGTCCTAAGGGTGTTGGGTCCACAGAATAGAGAGGAGCTGTTTATGATATAGTGCAAAGAATGGGCAATTCAGTTGAAATCAAGTACTCCTGATTGTTTCCCAGGGTATAAACACCCATATTAAAAGTCTGTTCTAATAAAGAAAAACTTGCTAACTTTATGACTCATGATCCTAGTCTGTAAGTTGTGAATCATCCTAGGAAACAGGTTCAAAAGAAATGACCTCTGCTCTACACAAGACTGTAAAACGCTGCATTTCTGGAAACAAACAAACAAACAACACTAACCTAAACAGGACTTTTTAAAGCTGTAGCATGGAACTTGCCCATCCAAACTCAAAAGCACAAATGAGCACTCACCTCTGCCTTCTTTCATCATCCTTTAAAACTTCATAAATGGCCACCAACTAAAACAGAAGCATTACTTTAAAATAAAAATACTTTCAACTGTAAGACATCACATAGGAGGATGACAGCTCTATAACGCACATGCACAAAACCCCATGTGCCCATCTATGCAATAAACAGTAAAAATCAATTATAAATAACATTTGGTTTTGGGGAGCAATTTTAAAAACTGGTGTCAAAATGAATTTTTGTGAAAGGTGTAAAAGTAACAGTTAACCTTAAAAATATTTTAAGAGTAAGAGCATAATTTAGACAAGAAAATGATGACAACCATGACCCTCCAACAACTAAGAAACTCTAAATGACATAAAATGTTGGTGAAAAAAATATTCCATTAAAAACAGGTAAAAATCTAAATGTTATATATTTAAATTTCATGTTCAAATGAAAATATTCTACATGTAAGGTAATATTTTTAGCATAAGTATTTAATACAACTGTTACTATAATAAAATTACATTTCACTTACTTGTCTAAACTGAGTTTCTGCATTTTCATCTTTATTCTTGTCTGGATGTAAGGTTAGTGAAAGCTTACGATATGCTTTTCTGATGTCTGCAGATGAAGCATCCTGGGTTGGTAGAGGGAGGGGAAAATACAAAGCAAACTTTGTCAGAAAGAGAAATTCCCAGAACCTTGTTAAAATCTGAGAAGACAGCCAACCAAGTGCAGGACCCCAGGCAATGTAATTGGAGCAATCAGTCTAACAACCATGCTAGGCAACTAGCCTGACCCACATGACTGAACAATCATTCAATCTAAATTGGTTCTCCTCTTAACTTTCATTACCATACAGTCATTTAAAGAAGATGGTATTTGGAAAAACTTTTCCAACACTTGTCTCCCTAAAATTAACCAATAAATCTTTTCCATTAATTAAGATATAAAAAGAGACAAATTAAAAATTAATGCATCTGTGTGCCATCAAAAAACCTTATTGTTTACTTGAGAATCTTAAAACAAGTTTCTGAAGCTCAAGCATATATATATATATATTATTATTTATACTGAAGTCACGATCCAGCAACAACTATGGAAACACAATTTCACATGTCAAAATGTTTATTTGAAGGGAGTTAATGTGTATTACCCAAACAGTTGTAATTACAAACAGTTATATGCTTTAAAGGGTATTTCCACCATTCTACAGTCTCCCCATTCTGGTTTATAGGAAAAAACTTGCTCATTATTCATGCATTACTAATACAGTTTAAAATATATACAAGGTCACAGTAGTTCAGTGCTTCAGATTAGGAGGATGTTAAAATAATAGTAATATTGTTTGTGCAGATAAAATAAGAAAACATCATTTACATGGCTAGAATAAACACAAAGTTCAAAGCTTCATTTCTACTATATTTAAAAACTGAGGCAAGTGATAGTAAAGCAGGAACTTATTAAATTTTATCTGATAGCTATTTGTCCAATTAATTACTAAAACTATTTTTACTAAAAAGCTCAAATAACTGAAAACTCAACCAACACAAAAATCTATATACCAAGGGCCAAATAACTGTTAAAGAAACAGATTTGAAGAAAAAAAAAAGACAATTAGTTTGTCAAACTTTTCCATTATTTTTATTGACAGTGTGTATGTGTAGGTAGGGAGACTTATTGCTTCAGGCTAGTATGCTACCCTGGGTGTGAATACTTCTATGACTTCTGCCACAGTATGCATCCCAAATATAAGTACAGCCAGACAGTTCTGTTTCAATACCTCCAAGAATTTTAATTACCTTCATCAACTGTTTTCCCATCTCTTTTGCTTTGTCTTCTAACATTTCTGGCCTATCTTGCTGTTCTCCCACATAATTACACTTCAGGGTGCAGGTCAGCATCCTTGTGTTCTTATTTTTTGCAAGGCTACAAAGCCAGCCCATTCTCTCCTAAAGTGCTGGCCTCTCAGGCTACACACAAACATGGAAGACTTTCCTCTTGAGAACCTGCCCAGCAGGGTATCTCACCAATAAGATCCACCATAAGTGGGTATGGCTTTTGCTATCTAAAGAGACGTCCTCTGGACAAGCTGTACCCTGGGGTAACTTATGCATTTATTTCATGTGAGGATTTTAATCAGTCTTAATTTTAGCCTCATACAAACCTACTGTGTAAGCATAGTTATTATTGGGCCCATTTTACAAATTAGTAAGGCAGGGAAAAGCTAAGCAACATGTTCAAAATTATACTGTCTACACAAAGATGAAGACAGAATTCAACACACAAAAAATACTACTTTTGGATCAAAGATATATTGGCTGTTTTACTTAAAATTTAATTTTCAGGGCTGGAGAGATGGCTCAGAGGTTAAGAGCACTGACTGCTCTTCCAGAGGACCTGGGTTCAACTCCCAACTGTCTATAATTCTGGTTTCAGGTGATCTGACCCCTTCATACCAATACAAATATAATAAAGTTAAATAAAATTATTTTAAAAAATATAATTTGCAGATCTGTAATTTGTAAGCTTAAATTTGTAAAGGGAGGATGCTTTGGCAAGTAACCATTGCCATCTTATTAATTTGATAAACACTGGGAGCATATCATCTACAAAACCATAAGGTGAGTATGTCCCATGAAGTTCTGTTTCTTCCTCCTACAGATGCTGGTGTTTGAAATGAGGTCTCACTATGTTGTTCAGTCTGTCTTCAACCTCCTGGGCTCAAGTGGTCATACTGCCTTGGTCTCCTGAGCTGGGAATGTAGGCACACATCAAGCAGCACCAAGCTACTCTACGAAGTTTTAAAGGTAAAGCCTCTGATCTATGCTGGCTTCTCTACAGCCTGCTAAATCACATTTCTATTAAAGACATGAATTTAGAACAGTCATCTATTAAATTCAGCAAAACAGACCATTTAAAATCTTTTTCACTTATACAGAAAAAAGCTTGTCTGGTCGTAGGGTGAGCTGACCATTGTTGATATCAAGAGATGTACTACATTAATTTTCCATGATTCTATTCCTTCTAAATTTGATCTAGTTCACTAGCAGACAAAATATGAATTATCTTAACACTTAGATAACCTCTGAAATGAAGAGACATATTGTCACTCTTAACACTTTTTAATGTAATTTATGCTTGTCAAAATGGAATACTGTGATGAAACTTCAGAGAAAAGGCAGGATAGAGAACTCCAAGGGCTGCCCCACCACAGAAACAGTGAATAGCCTGGCAAAACTGTTAAAATCAACTTCATCTGAACTCTGGAAACTAGTCAAAACTTATGTCAATTAGGCAAGCACTTAAGACTACATGAAGCTGATTCTCAGTAAGGGTTCTGAAGGCAAGAAAAGGCACAGCTGACCTTGTTCTCAAAGAATTATGGTTGTTTTCATGTGTTTGTCTACCCTGATATTTTGAATCAAGTTTAGGACTCTAAAATTGTACAGACATCATTTGTCAAGAACATTTAAAGGTGACCAGTGAAGTATTCTGTGGTTAAATGCCCTTATGAACGTGTTCAGAGATCTACAAGGTCGACCCCAACCAACAATCTAAGCAATAGTCGAGAGGCTATCTTAAAAGCCCTTCTCTGATAATGAGACTGATCTACCTTATATGCCATCCTAGAACCCTCATCTAAGTCACCTATTCTTGCCCATCTATGGATGTATTATCTGTTTCAAATACCATGCCTTTGAAAGTAGATAAAATCATGTTCACTTCATCTTCCTTCTACTCCAGCAATATTCAAAGGAATCTCTTACAATGTGGGAAATACTTGTATCTACATTGTCTGATATTCTTACAGTTTGGATATGAGTTGTCCCCTCATAAGTCTCATGTACGGAAGGCTTAGTTCCTAGCTGATAAATCATGAATGTGACTTCATCAATATATCAATTCATTGATGAGTTTACAGCTGAATGGTTACTAGAAATTGGAGCCTTAATTGGAGGCAATATGTCAGTGGGGGTGGATTTTTGAAGGTTATTTCTCTTCCTGGGCTCTCTATCTCTGCTTCCTACCTTCCATGAGTTTTACATTATTGCATGCTCCCTGACATGAAGTTCTCCCTCATTGCACCTACCAGCAAGGGATCTGACTCCACTTAAAAGGAGGGGAAGGCTTATTTTAGCTTAAATTCAGAGGTTCCTTTTCAATTGCTCCTCAAAAATAGTTTGTCACAACACAAAGCTGGTTAGTCCAAATGGCCACTGAGCACTTGAGGTAATGGGCAGAAGCTACAGGATGAGACTTCAAATTTTATTTGACTTAAATTTAAATACTTACACATTGTTAGTGGCTACTAGTATAATATTGGTCTATTTCTAGAGTACCTTCTCATGTTACAGAAGGAAAACTACATATGAGCTAGGTTTTGTCAATCACATGCCCTTTGGTACAGAATGAACATGTGGGAATGAACAGTTATTTATTTGTTTATTTGTTTATTTATTCATTCATGCATTTATTTATTTAGTGCTGGGGATTAAATGTAGCTATTACCACTGAACTACATTCCTAGCCCAAAGTCCACTACTGACAAGCAACAAGGTTGCTGGCCTTCCTATAACAATTTTAGCAAAGGTCCTACTATTCACCCAGGGTGTTGGCCATTCCCTTGAATGGGGGAAATGTGTGGTTTTAGAAATGGCAAATGCCACAGTGCTAAGTGATCACATGACTTTCTTCTTACAGAATTCATAGCTTAACACAGGTGAGAGACACTGAGTAAGTCTAGGGTAATCAGAGAGGAGACAAAACTGCACTATTTCAGGAAATAGCAATGAACCTGCCTTGAAAGTCTCTAGGAAGAAAAACTACATGTGATTCAGAGTCTGAAAAAAAAATCAGTGTGAACTTTGCATACATAATATTTTTGTCAAATGCACTCAGTGAGAGAGGAACAAAATAAAACAAGAAAATCTTATAACTTGTTGGTTTCAAACACGCATACATGTTGATTGCTATTGGTAACAACAACACAAAAAGAAAGAAAAATAAAGATATGCTTGTGTCATTTAGAGATGGGAAATGCTAAAAGAATGTTAGAAGGGCAGAGAAGGCCATAAATTTGTCAAAGAGGATGTGTCCTGGAAATAGCCAACTGGAAATGTGAATTTAACATCTGGCTACAATAATTTTAAGCTCAAAGATGTAGTCTGCCATTGACATATGAAGAAAAGCCAAATGTCAGGTATGATTAAAATAACTTAAAGTATAGAGTGTAGCCAGGCATAATGGTGCACGCCTTTAATCCCAGCACTCGGGGGCAGAGGCAGTGGATCTCTGAGTTAGAGGCCAGACTGGTCTACACAGCAAGTTCCAGGACAGCCAAGACCACACAGAGAAACTCTGTCTCTAAAAACAATGCAAAGAAAAAAGTTCTAGTATATAGTGGTAATTTACAGAGGCTGAAATAAGCTTTGAACAACGTCAAGTATTTGCTATAAGGACAAAAATGACTAAAGAGAAAAAAAATCAGAAAGGTAAGTATAACATCAGAAAAGTATGTAGTTTCATTCCAGCAATGAAAGAAGAGTCAGCACTATCAGCACTAAGGATAGGATAAAGGAGCACTGAAACCTATCACCCACTCTCATGACTGTGGTGGGGACCTGTCTAATACAG